AAGCTCTGATTTTATTAATTATTATTTTAGTTCTATATTCTCAATTCTCAATTTCATTAATTATGATTCAATTTCAGATTGTTCTTTTCATTTTCCTAAGATATTTTTATTTAGGACTCACAGAAAATAAACACTTCTGTTAGGAGTCTACCTGATTCAAGTTCATTCAAAGCCAGTTTATACATGGTTGTACCAGTTGATAATTTTCAGGTGTTATGCTCAATGTTGGTTCAAATATTTTGCTAGGGTGGTAAATGAGGAAATAAGAACTGCAAAAATAATAATGAAGTCATTTAGTTGTTAAATAGATTTGTGATTATTAGTTTGCTATTTAAGTGAGTACCTCTTTAATCTGAAAAAATATTTGGGGGTAAGGAAACACCATATGTTCTGGGTGATTGGAAGAATGAGCTCTATTTATAGTGACCATGAAGTTGAAGACTTGAAGGAGATATAATAAGGATTTTTATTTGAGTTTTGTGATTCTTTAGTTAGAGGAGTTGTTGCTGGGATTGAACAATATGATATATTTAGATTCAAATTTCAAATTAGAGAATATAATTATTTGTACAAAGTCCATTTTTTTCTGATCCAAGTTATTTATGATTGTTATAAACATCAAATACTGAAACGTGGAAGGTGAGTTGAAAGATATTTTTGGACGGGAGTCTTAGTGGACGATTCTGGGGGTTTTCATCATTTCTGTTTCAGATCTGCCAATTCGCTTTTAACTTGCAAAACTTATTTGTTTTAGCTTGCAAATAAATGTGGCTTTAATGAAAAATACATTCTTTTTTCAGATTGTCACTATACATTTCAATGTTCATATTTTAGACCAATATTAGACTATATTTATTCTTAAATGCGATGTGTTGTTTTACATGTATTAATTATCTTTACATTTTTTCTGAACTACATTTAAAAATTTGAACATATGCTTGCACACTGTGAAGAATTAAAAAACTTATGCATGACTATTACCAACCTAACCTTCTTAGTTCTAGGTTTGTTTAATTTCAATCCAATGTCCAAGGTGTTCTCATATTCCCCTTTTCTGTTATGTTTTCGAACAAGGTCACTGTATTCTTTAGAATTCATTTCCATTTCATGAAGATTTGTTTTCCAATTTGTTATGATGAATGATTTCTGATGAATAATTTCATATTCTCTTGAAAGTAGAATTTGAAATCTATTTTAACTCATACAGTCTATATGTCCATCTAGATTTTTTTTCCATTCATGTTACGCACTACTTTTGCATTTGTTTATTTAAAATCTGCATATTGTCTACTGATTGAGTTTTACTCATCTAACAGTCTTTTTTTATTAGGTCTTCCTTTACCAATTTGTATCAAATGAAAATAACAAAAAAGAAAGCTACAACGAGACTGGAATTTATAGCCACTAAAAGTCTAGGAACTTCAAGAATGTATGGACTTTCTATACCTTCTTTATTCACATTGAAATGGGTGTTTGATGTCAGAGTTATCACAATGGGCTTGAATAATATAGACTAATTTGCATTACTCTACATGTATTACTTTCATAGGTAAATCAAATGAAGATTGATGAATGATGATGTGAGTTCTGTTATAAATAGAGAGATTTGAATCAAGGGAATACAAACAGAGAACAATGAACACTACCTATCCACACTTGCAATGGATAAGGATGGAATGGTTTTTCACATCTATAGACAATTTGAATGTGTATCTCCAGGGAAGTAGGAGATATAATGTATGTAATATTGCAGTAGGTTACAAGTTACAGCCACCATTATGTCTAGATGTGGGCGAGTTGGTCAAGACTTTATGTAACAAGATATGCTTCTGAACCAGTTAAATGCCAAAATGTGACTAAGCTTTTAGCCTCATGATTATTGTAACCAGTTCTCATTTAGTCACTGACACGACAATTCTTAAGGTTTGTCAAATGACACAAACTTTAGCCTGTATTGTCTCCTGTAGTATCATTGCTTTGGTATTTCATTACTGTTGAATTACTTTTTATACTTTACAAAGGTATTTCAAATGGTTTAGAGGACTACATATACAACTATCTCTGCTAGACTGCTACCATTTAGGCCACCTAATCCAATTTAGGACTTACCAATTGAGCCCTTAATAGACATCAAATAAGTGTTACTATGACCACCCCGTTTAATTTGGTACATGAGTTTGAGACAAATACCATATGAGAACCAAACTATGTTTGGTTTGGAAATGTTACTTATTTAAAACATATCCAAACCAATTTACTTGCTTAGTTCAAATTTTCTCTGATCGATTAGAATGTGGAATCTCTTTGCCTAATTTACTTGCTTAATTCAAATTTGTTGCTTCATTTCTACTCCGTATTTGTTCAAGTTTGGAACACATTTCTCATTTATTAGGTTTAAATTTACAGCATTATCTTTCCTCAATCATGTTTGAAGCCACATCGATATCTTTTCCCCAAAATTTAAGATAGGCAGCGAGTATGGAAAATTGCTTTAGCCATTATGTTGGCTCCTGTGAGAAAACAAAAAAAGACTTATTAGAATCTGGTGTTAATCTTTGCCTAAAAAACATCTTGGAAATTATAAATATGATTTACTAAGGATTTTGACAATGAAGATATGATTACCTAATCTTAATCTTAATGTCGATGAGAGCATAATGTCATTCTTAATAGACACAATGAGCCTTCAAGTAGATTTGGTTCAAATAAATATCCCTAGCTAACTAACCAAAAACTCTTTAATGTCATATTAAGAGTATATATGACCATGCAAAAGGTAGCTAATTCTGCCATTTATTTAAGTGTCACATCATGTGCCAATCATACATGTGTGATATAACCGTCCATGTTAACTTCAGCCGCTTTCTTCTCATTCTTTTTATTCATCTTAAGTTTCACACTATGTTTATGAATTTATGTTTTCTGATTTTTATATTCTTCGTTTACTGTTCATAGTTTTATTGAAAGTAATTATTGTAGAGACAACTTATTAACATTTTGTAAATTTAAAACGAGACTAAAGAAGTTTCTAAATAGTTTTTATAGGCTAAGCTGCTTATCTTTTTTTCAAAGATAGGATATCCCCACTTTGAAGATGCAAAATAGGCAGTTTTCAACAATAAATGCCTCTGGACGGTATTGATTCTTAACACATCCTTTCAAGATCTTCATGTAACGCTCAACTGAGTACTCCATCTTAATTATACAAGGTCACATATTCATATCTCCCTTATAAGATGAACTATCAAATGAACCATGATGTCAAAAAATGAAGGAGTGAAGTTGACCAAGAATACGGGATTTGGGTGTGTGGTAAGAACATCTTACGCATTAGAGATTCAAAACTTTGCCAAGTGGATTTTGAAAATTGGAGACGGGGTCCTGAGGGACGGTGATGGAGAATCAATTGTTGACATCCCTGAAGAATTTATTGCTCCTATGATGGATGATTTAATTGAAGCTATTGTTAAGATCACCTATGCTGATTTTGAAATGCACAGTAATGTAATTGTGTTTCTTGTTTGAATTCTAGGGCAATTATTACGCCAACAATTGATGGACACGACAAGATTAACGACAACACGTTGGGACTAACTTCAGGTGAGGTAAAGACATACTTAAGCTCAGATTCAACATCTTCTTCTAACTCAGATAGTGCACTCTTTCGTTAGAAACAATATATACGCGATGCATCCCGTGCGATGCATCCCGTGCGAAGCACATGTGAAAAGCTAGTATTACTAATAAAAGTGTCTTGGACAAAATGTAACGTAGTAACCATTAATGACTATAATTGTGTTCAAAGTTTAATTTACATCAGAGTAACTTACTTTTAGTTACTATGATATAAATTTGAACATTATTGTAGTCACTAATAGTTACGTAGTATTAAACAATATTTGTGTATTACATTTTAAAGAGTAATATTTATGATTTTTTTTTTGTTTTTTATTTAATAGTAGAAGGGTGTATTGAGAGGTTTGACAAAATTTGTAATGCCTATACTTTCATATATATTTTTTATATAACAACTTCGTAGGACATATATGTTTATATTATAATTATACATGTATTTCACTTTCTTTTAAAATAATTTCGTTATATTCTTATATTTAAATAATCAAATTTACTAAAATACAAACATCTTATTGTTTCGTGCATCGTATGGGTATAATACTAGTTTTAATAACAAACGTGTATAAAGTTAAAGCAAAAATTTGTTAAAGAAAAGAAAAGTTAAAGAGAAAAACAAGTACAAGAACTGATCGACGAAAGAATGAATAGCTGCACGAAAAGAAAGAATAAGAGAAACAAAGGACATAATAATTATCCCACAAGTTACAACTAATTACCAAAGTATTGATTCTATCATGCTTTTGGTACACTCGGTTCTACCATACAATTTGCGAAACACACAAGTTTTAGTATTGAAATTGGCCAATAATTTATTCCTATTTTGAGTTTTGGCCTTCTGGCTAGGTACGCGTGAGGTGGGTTCGAGGTAGGGGTTGTGAGGTGGGGCTAGGTACGCGTGAACAAAGTGAAAGATGTGGATCAAAAGTGTAATTTATTCTTTTTACTTTATTAATTTCTGTGCTAGTCAAACTTTATCGAATTTTAAGAGATGGGTGGAGAGTATTATATACTACGTACTACGTATATATTTGTGTATACATGAATGTTTATGTATTTATATATGTATAAGATTGTTGTGAACATTTGAATGTTAAACGCTGTTTTTAATTCTGTGAAGTAAACATGATTCCATAACATTGGTTATTTAGGCTGCTTTGCTTTTGTTAACACTATTCTTAGGATGTTTTCTTTTGGATTTGAAATTTACTGATCTGATCTAGTTTGGACTGTTTAAATCTAGTTTGGTCTGATAAAAATTTGATCTCTGTCTATTTTATGATAATTTCTAAGTTTAGATTGATATTGGCTTAAATCTGGTAACAATCCTTGGTAAGTATAGTGTGGGACAGACATAAAAAACATCCTTGTCCTTGGTAACAATCCGAAACCAAAACCTAAATCGGATCTTAAACGTCCGGTCTTCTTCAACGAGACCCTGACTGTGAAATTGCTAAAGCTCGGCCCTAATTTACTTGGAGCTGCTCTTCTTAATCCCCGAACTGCTTCCGCAAACACAATTTGCGGCAACCATCATTAAGGCCGTTTCAAGAGTTTTATATTGCGTGGTGAAGAAGAATGGAGAACGGTTGTTTTAATCGGGGGAAAATTAATGCAGAAGATGTGATAACAAAGATCAAGGAAGACGGAGATTTCGATCGGCTCCGTCTTAAAGTTGTCCGAAAAGTAAAAGATGACGTGAGTGTTTGTACCAACACACCAATATTTTTTTGCGAGTTGATTTACTTCGATTCCCTTTTTATTCATTTATTCGCCGCAATCAAATTATCAGTCTGGTTTCAGTTCTAACTTCTAAGCTGAAAAGCAGCATTAATGGTTTCCAATATCTGGGAGTACCAAAACTACTAAGGCATATATTAGATCAGGTGACAAGTTACTCGATTATATATTTAAAAGTTGACAATGTGCTTTTAGAAACTAAAATGATTTTCATTTAGCTGTATATGTAGAACATGAGGCAAATGCAAATGTAGGATCCTTCCTTTTCTGAAGTCCGTGAGTGATACTTTAGACAGGCGAATTTGGGAACTTATTCTCAACGTTTTTAGTTGCCAATGCAGTTGCATGATATCAAGGGATGTGAAGCCTACATGATGGATGGGATTGTAGGCACTAATTTTAGTTTAAATGCTATAAATAGTTGACGAATGTGTCCAAACTCCAAATTATGGTCTAGGGAAGCAGTTTAAGAGTTAAACCTTTGAGTTTAAATCTCTAGTTTTCTTCTGATATCCTTTGAGCTTTGATATTCAGTAATCAGCCTTACTTTTATTTAAATGTAAATTCTACGATTCAGATGTAGAGTTAAACCCTGAGTTTAGAGGAAGGTTGGGTGTGTATTCATAGTTGATGAAATGAATTGTACATTTAAAAATATATTCTTGTCATGATGAAACTGTTGTGTTGATGCATCCTTCTTGTACTTCAGTTCTGGAATCACTTTCTCTTTCATTTTAAGCACAAAAGTTCATGTTTTTGGGGTGTATTTTTCCTGGAGCTCTTGTTCATCTGCAAATCAACCAGGGTTGGATAGAAAGTCCAGTAGGGAAAACTGGAGGGTATCTTGTTTTGTTTTTGTATCAATGTTCTATTGCATAAAACATCCAATAGCATGGAAACTCATTTCACACTGTCCGCACAAAGGGAAATGTTGCTAACATATCTAAATTCATTATACTAAGTACTGACTATTGAGCAACAATTCCATCTGATTAATGATCTAAAATTCTCCCTTAAATGAAATGTTTATTTTCTCAAGGTAGTATAGTTTTGGTTGAAGGGAAGTCTTGGTGCCGGTTACGGTGTTGCTGTGTGACTGAGAGGTCAGAGGTTCAAGTCTTGAGAGCACTTCTTTTCAAAATGACAAGGGAAGATTTGCCCTTAAACACCCTTGTGGTCGGACCCTTCCCCAGACCCTCTCCTTGCAGGACGCCATTGTGTACCAGGCTGCCTCTTTTTTAGTACTACCTATGGGTGGACTCGGTTCGGGCCGGGCCCGGTTCGGGCCTTGAACCGGCCGGGCCTCGGTTCACCAAAAGGAGGGCCCGGACCCGAACCGGTGGCTCCCGGTTCCGGGCCGGGCCACCCGGTCATAATTTTTTTTTTTTTTTGCTTCTCTTATTTAACCCCCTATCCCTCCCCCTCAACCCCAAACCACCCCAAACCACCTCAAATGGCCCAAAATACCTAATCCAACCCAAAACTTTAAAAAAATTCAAAAAAAAAAAAAATTCCGGCCCGGGCCGGTTCACCAAATGGAGGGCCCGGGCCCGGAACCGGTGTCCACCGGGCCGGTTCGACCCAAACCGCCGTTGGACCGGGCCACCGGGCCGGGCCGGTTGCTACAGTGGGCAGGCCGGGCCGGTTCCGGGTCGGGCCGCCTGGCCCGAGTCCACCCCTAGTACTACCTCCACCCCACTAACATTGGGACAAGAGGAGGTGGTGCGGTTATTAAGAGAAGTGAGTTTATGTGATTGATATTGAATTGATAAAATAAGAATAAAGTAAGAATGACTTGGACTCACACAAACTTTACCAAATTTGGTATGCAACAATCTTAGTGTGATGAATTGAAAAAGAAATATGGGACAATCTTAGCGGGATTGAAGGAGTATAGTTCTGGTTGAATTTGATGAATGCTTTTGATGTAGAGAGAGCACTTCAAGGGATTTAGATTTTTTTTATTTTAATTTATGACTCTTGCTTTTTCCATATACGGTAAATGTTAGGGAGTGGGGACGTTCGTCAAATCGTTTTTTTCTAAATGCCAGCGAAGATCTCTGCTTCATGTTTCTTTTATCCATTTGTGTGGCGCATACTCATGCTCTTATATGTTCATGACTTCTTAGAATCTATTAGAATGTATCAACGGTTTGTTAGAAAAATTACAAATAATTTCAAAGTTTATGCTTCTACTCCAGTTTCTATAGGTTTCTCTTCCCCTTAAACTTTTTAAAACTGTGTAGATATTATGTATAGGGAAACACACATTTCGGCATTCGGAAGGTGATCCCTTTATTCTAAAATGGATAAGTTAGTGAAATCTTGCACATTTTTTTTTCAACTCTTCAGTTTGATGGGATATTATTTATTTATTTTGGGAAGTAGGAGTAAAAGGCGCTTATGAAGTAGCAGGCAGTCCATGCAATTTTCGACGCGATTTTCACTATGGGTCATCCGGAAACAGTCTCTGTGTGCTTTAGTACAGGGGTAAGGTTGCGTACATCCGACCCCCCCTACCCCACCATAGGTGGGAGCCTTTGTGGCACTGGGGTAATGATGATGATGATGATGATGATGATGGATGCTCTTGATGTATATAGAATACTTCAAGGGATGTAATTTTTTTCAAATTTCTGCTTAATGAGACTGGATAAATTCATAATAAAATAAAGAAAGCAGCCTCTCTGTTTAGTTTTTTTTAGTAACAAATTTAAATCTAAAGGCAATTCTAAGCTCCCAGCATCCAATTGTGCCCGAAAAACAAAAGCTGAAGGACTGATAAGTAGAAGTTAATGGCCAACATTGAATGTGTTTCTTATGTCAAAGTCGTTAGAGTCAATGGCCTTGTCTAAGTAGAAGTTAGGATTGATACTACATCAGTCCCGTACAATTATGTTCTCTTCACACAGGTCTCTTGGGTACATTTTCTCACATGTGTATCTTCTACGGAGTAATATTTATTTATGATTCATTTCATGGTTTAGTTATATGCTGTTGTACATATATTTTCCTCCCCCTCCTCCCCCAATCAAAATAAGAGCAAAGAATTGGATGCGTTCTAACTATATCAAGCTTTTTTATAGGAAGAATTGCATAATAACATTATGTCAGCCGTGAGGCAATCAAAAGCACTTAACCATCCAAGTGCCAAAAGATTAAAACCAAGGCAACTTTCTGATGCCATATATGAAGAGGTTGGGTAAGTTACTATGAAGGGGTTTTCATTATTGAGTTAAATGTGTTTTATTATGAAGGGGTTGAGTTAATTCTTGCTGACCAATTATTTGGGGCAAATATATCGTGGTTGTAAGACATTCTGACTCACTCGTATAGTTTGATTAATCATATGGTAGCATGAGGACTCAGTATGTGGGCACCATTACTACTTTTCCTATATTATACTGCCCCCAAAAAAATCCTATTTGAAATGGGAAAATTAATTATTGTCCCCGAAGAGAGCCCTGTTTTGTAAAAAGAAGCTAATTTTCAGAATACTTAAGCTGACTTTTTTCCTCTAAAAAGTGCCCACATCCCACAATTTAGTCAAACCTAAAATAAGTTTAAAGTCAAGGATGAAACATAGATTTTCAATAGTTGTACAATGGAGAAACTTGACTCTTTATTTTGGATGTAGGTGCTATGTTTTTGGCAATTAGTTATTGAAGGAAAAACTAAAAAATAGATTCTGATATGCTCTATAATAACATTTTTCTTGTTTCGAAACATAGGACAAAAGTCATGAGTGAAATTTCTGATAATATCTGGAAGGTAATTAGATCTGTGGATGGCATAAAGAATGAAATAGCAGAAACAGTACAATCTGTTTGCAAAAGGTTATTAAACCCAAATGCTCATCAAGAAGGTCAAACGTCTTCCAAGGAAAACTTTGAGGCAGATGCGAAGGGACTTGGAAGTAACAGCGGTACATGTGCAGTCAATGGTACACTATCTGATAATGTGCCAAACAAACCTCATGGCGAGAAAGTTAGAGATGAATCTAATCTAGAGGCCCATTGCTCAGGGCGTCCTGTGGGTCTCAACAAAGAAAATGGTGCATCTGCACCTTCTCCTGGATTTCCCGATGCCGTGGATACTAATCACCCATCTGATCGCATTGATGAAGACCCCGATGTACCTCCGGGGTTCGGTTAATGCTTCTATCCCCGATTCTCCTCCACAAGGTATTAGTAGTCGATACCATCATATTGTCTCTGTATCCGTTATGAACATATGATAACCAAGGTCACATGTTCTGGTTTTGTGACGATTTGACAAAAAAGTTCAGTTTTAAACTTGAAGCTCATCAATTGAAAATTATTCATAAAATTTAATTGCATTTAACCAGTTTTGTGTTATATATACTTATTATATGGTGCTATAATTGTATGCTTTTATTATAAAATTAAATGATATTTTGGAAGTTGTAAAAAAATCAATTTGAAAGCATATGTCTGGATACAGTGTTCATGGTTCATGCCGTTTCTATCTTCCTATAGTGCTATAATTCTATTTTATTTGTATCTGATTTGAATTCAAGAAGACTGTTTTAATTTGGGGAAAAGTGGATCAAAATCATATTCATGGTTAAACCCGTTTTTACAAAAAAATTGCCAATTGCATATCCATGTTACTGTTAGCCAGCTACCACATAAGCGTATCACAAGCTTATCTGAATTGAATCTTGATTATTATTTATCCTTTAATTTGGCCAAGGTACAACTGTTTTAAATTATAATAAGGCACAACTGTTTTACATTATAATAAGGTACAAGTAATAAATATTGGAAACTAACATTGTATGTTTGCATATTATGTCACTTTTACGATTTCTTTTGGAAAATTATATGTAAATTTAGTTTCGGTATCAAATATGATTTTTTCTTGTGGGAAGCAAGTAACCAGGTATCTCTCTTTAGGTCTGAGAGAGTAAGGGCCTGTTTACTAACAGAAATATTTTCTGTTTTTCCAGAAATCTGGAAAACTGGAGATAGAAAATTTAGAATACCTGTTTACCTCATTGTTTTCCGAAACAAAAAAATTGAAACATATCTCGAATTTTCGTTCTGAAAAGGAGAACCCACTTATACGCGTTTTCCGAAATCAGAAAACACGGTGCTACAGTGCCACACACCCTCCTCCTCTATCGTCTTTACTTCGCCAACTCCTTCGCTACTAAAGTGGTAGTTGGCCTACCATCTTTACTTCTTCCTCATCTCCTTCACAGCACCAAGGAGACCTTAAATATCACTGCCGTTCAACATACTCAAACAACAGTTCGCTGCCATTACTACTCCCAGACTACTCAAAATTGGATTGCCGCCATCGCTGCTAGGAGCTCCACCTAGACATCACGGAATCTCCCGACTCTTCATTCGGCTCTTGCTCTGTCAAGAATTTCAAGGTAACCTCTCAATTTCAGAAATTCATTAGTGTTAGAGAAATTGCATAAAGCTCTTGTTTCAAAAGCTTCCAGCAACGATAAAGCCCATGTGTAAAGCCCTTGTTTCAGAAATTTCAGTAGCGTTAAAATGGCTGCAGTGAGCCCTCCATTAGTGCTTTAAAGAAATTTTGAAAATAATAATTAAAACCTAAGGGTAATTTGTTAAAACAATTGCTTCAGTAAATAGATGTTCAGCTATTTTGAATGAATGATAATACTAAATTCGTTTATCATATGTTAATATTCTAAAATTATCCCAGCGTTTTATAATAGGTATGCCCTGTGTTCTGGAATGCTCCTTATTCAATTTGATTTGAGTAAACTTTGAATATTAGTAAGCACAACAAATGCTGAAAGTACCAGCTAGTTGCATCCAAATGTTGTTGTGAAGGTAATTAATTCAGGTCAGGGCTAAGTGGATCAGTTTGACATTTTTCAAAAGTGTTTATAGTATTCTTGTTCAAAGTATACAATTAGAGATTTTAATAGGGAAGGTTTTAAGTGAGAGTTCGATTTTTTTTTTGTGTGTGTGTGTAGTAAATAATAATCTTTAGTCTGAAATATATGTCAAGATATACACCAGCCTTAGAACGTTCCGTAAAAAAATCCTCCATCTGAATGGGCTCTCAACTGGTCAGTTTAGTAATAAACATGTTTTGATCATTTTCCTTGCTTAACAAAAGTTAATATGTCTTCATATGGGATGCTTGTCACAATGGAGGTTCGCAGACTACCCAAACTTTGGTACATCAGCTGTAATAATTTGGAAGCAAAAGTTAATATGTCTTCATATGGGATGCTTTTCGGAATGGGGGTAGCAGAACACTTGTTTTGGAAGCAAAAAAATATGGTCCGTAGTAGATTGGATTTGTTAGCAGTTAGTAGATTAGTTTTGTTAGCAGCCTACCATATGCAGTTTTTAAAAATCAATTTATATCCACTTATGCACCCAAGTATCCAGGTTGGAATTAATCAGTAGATGATAATTTTTACTTTCCTTGCTGTCATAAAACTATCTCCAGCACTGACCAACAGAATGTAACAAGTTTTGGGCAGACTGCTTCTCAAGTCATCAACCATGGATTTACTGCTCTATATAGTTCACACACTGCTTCAAGTTTTTTATATCGAGAGACTCACGGCTCTTCCAACCATTGCCATTATATGTGCTTGCGTTGAGTAATTGTCATGTTTGTGATGCACTAATACTATGATGCAGGCATTTGAAAGTATGTTTGTGAGTCTGGCAGTGACTTGAGTTCCATACTTCCATTAAATAGTTTATTCCCAACCATATGTTTCTGATGCACTGATAGAGCAGGCAGTTTATATATGGTCAAAGGAAGACGTCTAGTTATTTTTGCAGTATATTTCAGTTTTGAAAATTATATATCTTTGACATTAAGAGGTCTGTTTTTTCAGCTTTTTTCTTATTAATTATTGCTTAGGAAGAGAATTGAAAAGTTATGGCTAGACATTTATCTAACATTCCTGATTTTGCTAGGAAGAGAATTTCCAACCATTTTTTTCATCCAACTCACTTTATCTTTTGTATTCGTTGTTTCAAATCTTAAAGGGATGATAAAGGCTACTTTAGCAATGACAAAAACGAATGTTTTCCAACTATAATTGAAGCCATTGTGAATAGGAGGCAATTGACTGGGGCCCTTGGATATTGTTAATGATGAAGAATTTGAGGTCTATATTGTGAACGCTCATTCGACAGATGATAAGTTTTATGATGCAATGAAAATGGTTACCCATTTAGAAGGTAGGTTCAAATTCCCATAGCTTGTTGTGCATTGCATAATTTCATTCGCATGCAAGATAGGAAGTAGGAACGACCGTTTGTTCATAGAGTACGAGGAAGAGGATATGATATTTGACACGGCAGCAAGTACAAGTGAAAATTGATTACTCGAGATTGATATGTCTCAACAACAACAAATGCATGAAATTCAAGAAAGTATTGTGAATGCAATATGGGATGATTACAATGTATGAGATGTCAAAGTACAATTGCTATTCTGATTAACATAATCTCACTTATTGAACTTTTAGTGTTGAGGAACATTTATGTTAATTTTTTTGTGTTATTTCAAATGTTTGTAATTGTTAATTTCTTTTCCAAATATTATGTTAGCGTTTTCTGGTAAAAATGAAATGGAAAATTGAAAAATTCTGGTAAACATGTTTTCTGATTCGGAAAACAAAAAAACTGGAAAACGAAAACAGAAAACTAGAGACCTGAAAACAGGAAATGAAAACAGAAAACAGGCCCTAATGTTTTCAACCATCCCTTAAATTTTGTCATATTCTTTTATAATTGATAAGAGCTTTTTCAAATAAATAAATGAATATCTGTACCGCCTGTACGGAATTTAGTATAAAATAATACGGAGTATAAACTTATCATGTGTAGAAATTTTATATGAATTTGGTCATATAGTATGGACATGGAATGATGGAATTACAGGGTCTTCACTCTATTAATTTGCAATTCAAATTGTAATTGGCTTTTTTAGGTATCGTTTAAGGTTGGGATGCACAAACCAAAATGTTTTAATGCACCAATGCCTGCTGATTGCTCCAATACTACAATAGAATTTCGGCACCAAGGTATAATAAGCAGATAACATTTTCTTTATTTCATTTCAAGCATTGTGCCTGTTGCTTTTTGAAGTGTGCTTTACTATGTTTCCAAATTGTTCCAACAGGCAAATCACGTTGGATAAGGAAGGATGACAGTCAATGGATGAGCGTCCACCCTCTGTTCTCACTACGTTTGACAAGACATGTAATTGCCTGTAGTTTAATGTGGTGTTCAAAACTGGTTTTTGAAAATTCTCACCAAAATGAAGGCATGAGCATGGCCTTTATTAATCCCACGTTTAAAATGATATATAAAATGAGACTCACATTAGTATATTGCTCTTTTCTATCTTCTTTTTATTTAAACCCCGTCTCTAAAAGGTTTGCCAACTTCAACCTACACGTGGACTAACAAAATAAGAACCATATGACTAAGATTTATTTAGAAGAAAGAGATGTAAGAGCATATTCAGTGCCATAATGTGCACGGTACATATGTGATATGAGAGAGATAGACACATAAATATTAATGAGAAATATATCTCTCTCCTTGTTTGAAAGGTCTTATATGTTATAGGTAAATTTTTCTCCACATTATGAAGATGGATGTATAGATGTAGACATTGTAGTTGATATTCTTTTGAAAAACTCAACAAAATTATATAAAACTGTGGAAAGAGAAATGTGAATGATTCGTTTTTCTGTTTCTATCTCTCTCAAGCAACATGGATTTTGCACATTCTTGCATTGGAAATGCTCAAAGTAATCATAGTTTTTTAAAGGGAAATGCATTTTGGGATTACCTAATAGAAAGATATGGCAAACCTATTTACTGAGATGAATGGAGTTTTTAAATTATGATTGTGTTTGTTTAATTTATAGATGGCACTCATTATTGTGTTTGTTTATTTGTGGTTTGAAGTAGAGTCCATGAGTGTAGATTTGATGTTATTTTGGCTTGTTTTTTAGCTTCACATTGATCCATTTTGACTTGCAAAAGGCATTGTTGACAATAATAATACTGCAGTAGCCTAGCAGGGCTTTACAATTGGACCGACTAAATTTGAGGCTAGCCTTTATTAAACTTAGTTGAGCCTTTTCCCAAACGAGATTTGCTTGGTGTACACAAATTATGTACATGTTTCACACACCTTGTATGTGGAATTAGTAACTCCTGCATTTTTTAGACGAATTACTTGTGCGGACTAGGGGTGGACTCGGGCCGGGCGGCCCGACCCGGAACCGGCCCGGCCTGGGAACCGGTGGGCCCAGCGGTTCGGGTCGAACCGGCCCGGCCCTTGGGCGGTTCGGGCTCGGGCCTATGTTTTGGTGAACCGGCCCGGCCGGTTCGGGCCCGGTTTGGGCCGGAATTTAATTATTTTTTTTTTTATTTTTTTTTAAGTTTTGGGTTGGATTAGGTATTTTGGGCCATTTGAGATGGTTTGGGGTGGTTTGCGGTGGAGGGGTAGGGGGTTAAATAAGAGAAGAAGAAAAAAATTAAAAATTAAAAATCCCGGTGGCCCGTCCCGGCCCGGTCTGGCCCGGAACCGGACCCGGAACCGCCCACCACCGGTTCGGGCTCGGGCCTCATTTTTCTGAACCGAGGCCCGGCCGGGCCCGAACCGGCCCGAGGCCACCCCTGGTGCGGACTGGTTACTGGTATAAAAAGTGTACAAGCAAGGCAAGGGATGACTTGGGTGAGGCATCGAGGGAAAACCAGACAAAAATTTACCCAAATATATGCATTGCAAAGTTTTCTCACCTTGGCTAATTGGAAAATTTACATCAATAATCTTTACTATCAGCATTCTTCTGATTTGAATCCCTTGTGACTTGGAATGATTCGTGACTTGGAAAAAGAAGTTAAATAGACATTGATGCTATATTTATCAAACTAGATCAGACTAGGCCAAAAAGTTTCAGTCCAAGTAAAAACACCCTAACATAGTGCTGGACTCGGGCCGGGCGGCCCGGCCCGGTCACTGTTTGGCCCGGCCCGGCCCGGCCCGGGGCCCGGTGGGTCCCTCGGTTCGGTTCGGCCCGGCCCGGCTGCTGGGCGGTTCGGGCCCGGGCCCAGGTTTTGGTGAACCGGCCCGGCCGGTTCGGGCCCGGTCCGGGCCGGATTTTAATTTTTTTTTTTTTTTTGAATTTTTTTTAAGTTTTAGGTTGGATTAGGTATTTTGGGCCATTTGAGGTGGTTTGGGATGGTTTGGGGTTGAGGGGGAGGGGTAGGGGATTAAATAGGAGAACAAAAAAAAAAATTATTGGGCCGGTTCGGCCCGGCCCGGCCCGGCCCGGTTTGGCCCGGAACCGGGACCGGAACCGGCCACCGGCGGTTCGGGCTCGGGCCTCCCTTTCCTGGCCCGAGGCCCGGCCGGGCCCAGGCCCGAACCGGGTCCGAACCGGCCCGAGTCCAGGACTACCCTAACAACCATCCCGTGATCATTTCTACAAATCTTGCATTGTAGAAATTACTGATTTCATAATAATAATGAAGCACTGTTTTAAAAATACTGATTTGATAAGCTCAGCTCAACTGCCCAAACAATGTTATTCCAACCAGTAATTGTTCAAATGAGTTAAATGAGTTAAACTCTACTCCAGTCTAAACCTTTTTCATTTTCAAAACAAAATGCATAAAACATTTTGAATTTATGGTAGTTTTGTATGTCAAAAATACCAAATTGACTACTATTGCCAAAACCCCCTTTACTGATTCATCCACATTATCTTCACATCTCCTTTCTTGAAGTTTTTCATATTACGACGATTATTAAGATTCACACCAGTGTATAAGTGTCTTCTCCCTAACTTTTGTTTAGGGTTTGTCTTTCTTGCAGGTGGTTTACACCGTTTCTTATCTGGCTTGGATCGGCAATGGGAGGTTCGTTACCACGCTCTACCTCTCTATGGTCAATGTTTTTGGATGTGCTGCTATTGATATCTTCGATTGCAAAATCATCTGGCAAGGGAGAAACAGATCAGTGGTCTACCCCCCTCCTGAACTGTCACCCTGGAGTATGATACTTCAAGAATATTGCAAGAAAAAGTTTGGAGTATTTGTCAAATATTTTATTATTTATGGTCTTACTTTTGCGCTAAGTTTGAATGTTTGATAAGGATTGATGGATCGATGATTCTGCTAGATATTATGTCATTAAAAAGATCTATACGGTCAGTGATTGTTGTGTCACACCCGTTTCATGATTAAAGCTTCATATTGCTCTTTTAGGGGTGATCATTTCAAAGTCTAACTGTTGACTAATTGGTTATGAATAGTTGTCAGCTTTGTCTTTTTGAGTTTGTTATAACAACCCGAATCCTAATGCCATAAGCATAAGTGGTTTTTTCCTTCAAAAAAAGGGAAGAAGCTCACTATAGAACATGAGTTAGTCTGTTAGTGTTATAACTTATAAGGATGTTTTTACTTAGACTATAATTTGTCCCAGACCAGTCCAGACCAGGTCAGACCAAACTTGAATAGTTATAAAAATACAAAGAAATCAGACCTTACCAGACCAGTTCAGATCAGACCGGATCAGACCAGCAAATTAAAGTCCAAGTAAAAACATCCCAAGTTACATACATTACAATTTTAATAATCCGTATGAATTTTAATGTGCTTCAGTGCTTGTCAAGTTTTCATGTCTCAAATTAGTGTAACAGACCTTAAACCGATAATGAACTTTGCAAGGCTTTTTATTAGCTCCTAAATCTTCTTTAGGGAACAATGTTGAGGCGCAAGTGCGATATTTTCGAGTCAAATGAAACCATCCAGGAAAAAGCCCTTTCCTACTTTCTGAACATTCTATTTACACTGTGTTATGTTGTATTAACCTTCCAAGTTTAAACAAGAAGCAGGAAAGGCTGATGCTGGACCGGTGGTGTGTTGTTTATCACCAAGGGGCCAAGAAAAGCTACCTTTTCCCCTACTATCACCTCCTGAATAAAGTTTTTACCCATGGTTAGACTTTTCATTTCCATGTTCATACTAATGCATTGAAACCAGATTGCAATTAATAAGTACCTGAAGTTGTTAACAACCCTGTCGCCAAATTTTTGAATCTGCTTTGCAAGAAGACCTAGTGACTTTTCCTTGTCTGTCTGTTTTATCTGTGGAAAGCCAAAAATAATAATAATGGACTAATCAGATATGCAAACTTAGCATTTCATAACGTTTGAATTAGAGGATTAGAAACCAATCCATTTCTGCATCATCCATATGCCCCAAAAAGTATTAATAATTCCCCATCCGTACCAAAAAATGAGTATTATTTCATCAAACGAGGTCAATTTTCACATAGCGTGACAATAATTTGTCAAACCAGTGAGAAGAGCAAGTTAAACCAACAAATAATAATACTATAAAAACTGTATCTATCAAACATGAATTTTTTAGGATAGGAGTAATGGATTGTATCTCATCCGTTTGTATTATTTGAATGGTTAGTGATTCCTTCTATATCCACTAGACACATACATTTTCCATCCATTTAGATGATTTTATTAAATGGATCGATTGGGTTTCTTTTTTTTTTTTAAACCCGGTAGGCAAACCACCAAAATCAGTGGGGTAAATTCATAAATGGATTAATTGATTAATTTGTACACATCCACTATATAATCAAAATAAAATTTTATTCAATCCATTGATTCAGACACCCTACCTTTGATCTAAAGGAGTGGGTAAAAACAACTCAATAGTTACGAAGGATTGGAGTACAATCTATGCTTACCTCACAGTTTTGTTGGAAGTAAGCCCATCTATTTTCTTTAGAACCCTTGTACCAAGAAAAGTAGCTCCATCAAATAACCATCGTACATTAGAAAATATCCAAGGTAACAACTTCTATAGGGTCTGTTCGGTTTTAGGGTTTCAGGAGGGGAAGCTTTGGAAAGTTTGGACAGTACCTTGATACATAGAATGTTTCTATTCCATGTTGAAATTCTATTCCATGTTATGTTAATCTTTCAGTTTCTATAAAATCTCACACACACATGAAGATATAGACCAACCTCTCCAAAACCCTCCATTGAAAGATACCCTTAGAAACGATAGGGAATAAGTGAAACCTTTGAAGTTATGAAGGCAGGCTGTTTCAACCTTGAAGGAGCCTCAGCACTTGATTGAGTTCCACATGCTAGAGATAACTATGTAAACAACAGATATGTGATGGCTAAGTCAAAAACAGATTAAGAATATAAAAACAAGAATATCGATATTTTGTAATTTACCTTGTTAAAGAGTTCGATTGGTGGGTTAGAGTGATTATGATGAACTCCTCTCTTTTCAGTAAAAAAATTAAATTCCTGTGTTGTAAGTAGTACAGCATATCAGAATCAGTTATATAGAATAAAGCTAACAAGCCTCAAAACCAAGGTGGTTGGACAATACCATGGGCACAGTGGTTTCCTTCTTGATGTTACGAAAAACCCCCATATCTCCTCTGCTCAAAAGTATCTGTATACACAAGAATTTGTTAGTTTGCAGAACTTAGGGAAGATATTGATTAATAACCTTCACCCTACCTTCTTATTAAGAGGGAGAGCTTTTAACTTGTTTGATGACAATGATCCTTCTTGTTTCACTTGTTCCGTGATATTGGGTCTGAAAAACAAATGCATATTTGAATAGGGATATTCAATTTAATTATAAAACATGACTTCATTAAGGTAGCATAAGCATAAATGTTATTTACATCCATATAGTTATAATCTTTATTCATAGCTTTGAGATTACTGGCAATGCAGGGTAATTTATATTCATGTTGTAGTTATATGCCACCATAAGTAAAGCTCTGTAAACATCACAAATACTACTTACTTTCTACGTTCTTTGTTTTCGCACTCGAAGCTGAAACCGGTATTAGAATTTTGTAATACCTGAAATGACACTACCTTTGATCATAAAACTGAAATCATAAGGTGAATTAAGCACAGAACAGTTACAAGTGCTCTGAAATATTTACTGTTATATTCCTGCAAAAAAACACTGCCTCGAGAACTACAGTATGCCATAAATTGGCCTCAGGTTCTATATGACAGAAAATTACATCTGCTGCTGATTTACTTTTCTCTCTTTGATATTGAAAATAATTAATTATTTAATGAGACGGATCAGTATATGTTACCTTCTTTAACTGATCACAAATCATCCTTGTTATTTATCTTAGAATCAAAAACACTTGTAAAGATTATTCAGTACTTCATAGCTTGAACTAGACAAATATTTTGAAAAAATCTACCTTATTGGTATTATTGGAAACAACATTGGAAGACGTAGCTGATTTGTGCTGCTTAGCCCTCTCTGATGTCTTTAAATGGAACTCCTGAAAACCAAGGAGAAAGACCGATTTGCTTGATGCCCAGTACGCACAAGAAAAAAATTGGGTGTAGAAAACGTCAAAATAGATCCAATGTTTTATGTTTTATGTACTTGAAATTGGGGTGGTTGTGGAGTACTTCTCTTTGGAATCAGTGAAGGAGTTTCAAACATCTGTAACAAGCATCAAGGTCTGTGAATGTGAAAAAACAAGCTTTATGCAGAGATAAATCTGTGTACAATATATATACATAAACATACTAACTTTTCTATTCAAAGGACGGGCTTTAAATCTGTAAACATCTGATGTCACATTTTCTGTTTCTTTCCGTGGTTTATCCGGAACGTTTGGAATTGGAAACTTTCTGCTTCTTTCTGTGGTCATTTCCTAAATTTAACATTATGATTAGCTCTTGAAGTTCAAATTTATAATACCAACAATCATATATAAAAGGAGTATGAGGCATTCTCTTCTTCAAGGCTTAAAGTCATTACCCTTTTAGGAGCCTTATGAATGAAGTTTGTTTGTGCCTTTGTATCAGTAACCTGAAAATACATAGTGTAAGTGTGGTTGGGTGGAGGGATGACCAGTGTACAAGTTGTAGACTTGTGATTAACTATCCTCCACAAAAACTAAAGTATTTATAAAAAAACAATTAGAACCTTGTGCAGCAGACCACCTTCAAGCTTCTGTCTCTTGCTAGCTTGGTTATCACTGACAATTGCTTTTGGCTCCGCTACATCACGCACCGAATTAGGAAATCTGGCATTCAGAGAATTTCAATCTTTGGAATTCATATTTAGAATGAAAAATGTACAGCATGTAATGTGTAAAATCCACATTTAAAGCAATATTAGGTATTAACCATGTACGTTGCAATCACACATATTATAACTATTAATAAACCTACATGAAATGTTTGCTAGTAGGGACAGTCATGCTATAATATATATTCAAAGGAAAAAAAACAGTCATGTTATACTGCACCTTACAACACCAACTAGGTGAGAAGAGTTCTGCTTGGCCAGGTGACTTGCTGTTGGTTTCATTAGAGTAGAGGATCTGGGATATGAAGGCTTCCCACCATACTTATTTTTTGCTTTTGAATTATCTTTCAGAAGGTGATTATAGAATGTCAAGCCTGCAAAGAAACAACTTCAGAGCATTTAGACCTATTGTACTCCGGGGCAGGGGTTGGGGTCTGTCTAAAAAGAGCATAACCTGTTGGTAGTACTTCTGGTAGATTTTGAAATTTGACCATAGTGGTGCTAGCCAACATAGGTGCAATTCCTGTTCTATCTCCTTGAACAAAAGAACAGACCCAAAATTCATGAACATGTATTTCACCTTTAAAAACTACTCCATATATGCAAAAAATGAGGGATTTATCTCTTCCTAGCTTTTTAGTTAGGATGGTGATAAGTTGCTAACTTCATCCCTTAGCTTATGGTAAAACATCAATAGGAGAAGAATATTCCTCATAATTTTCATGAGTTAACTAAGTCATCTAACAACGTTCTTCATGCTTACCCTTTTAACAACAAATAATTCATCAAAGGAGTCCATTAATCATTAATCATTAAAATTAAAGTGAATGTATCTTAAAAGCAACACAGAATATTCTGTCTTATTAGTGCTTAAACATAGTCCTAACTCCTAAGGGCTATGGTTTGTATTTTCCTTATAAGGATGGCATCCAGGAAAGCTTGTTAAGATCCCACACCGGTCAAGTATGGGCTTGGCCGGTGGCTTATAAGCAATGTGTTCCCTCCTCCTAATCGCCTGGTCTTTTAGGAGTGAGTTCTACACATGGGCTTATGGCGCTGCTACAGGCCTAGTATGGGCTAGGTCCGTAACAATTGGTATCAGAGCCGTCCCATCTTCCTAGTCCCGACACTCGGAGTGGTGGCCTATGGAGTGGTGGCTTGGGCCTTAGGGGGGTGCCAACTGTGGCCAACATAGTCGTGACCAACGAGGACGTTGGCTCTTCGAAGCATAGGGTATTGTTAAGATCCCACACCGGTCAAGTATGGGCTTGGCCGGTGGCTTATAAGCAATGTGTTCCCTCCTCTTAATCGGCTGGTCTTTTAGGAGTGAGTTTTACACATGGGCTTATGGCGCTGCTACGGGCCTAGTATGGGCTAGGTCCGTAACAAAGCTACATAGTTTTTTTAATTTAAATATGATTCAATGCTACTGGAAGCTGCCTATTTAACTCGAGAAAGCTTTTCTAGCTTTGAGTATCATGCAGTATTAAGCTTGCGTAAAGGAAACATATTGAACCAATCGCGTCACATTGACAATACCTGCTGTACTACACACTTGTCTAGAAGAACGCGTTTCATAGACATCCTCTATATCAGAACCACTTTCTGACAAACTCATACTATCGGCATCTTTGGGTTTAGCGTCAGCACTTATGTTTCCACACCAATTGCCTTCGCTTGATACTAATTTTTTGACAAAAGCTGAAAACATAAGCAGAACTTATGAATAAATCATGGGCACAAGAGTTAAAAGACACATGTCAGCATTGATCATATAATGGAGAAAGCATACATATGATGCTATACGGAAAATTAGTTTCGAGAAAAGTTCTTTTTACATTGGTCCGAAAACTCCCCTTTGTATTAATAACACGATTAGACACGTTTCTAAAATGAACCAAGGTGTATTGTTCTTCCTTTACCTATGGGTTAATATATACCTAGGGAGTGTTAAAAAAATCACTTCTCACACCATGTGATTACAATGGATCAACACCTCAAAAGCTGGAAGAACAAAGTTCTCTCCTAGACTGGGAAAATCAATTTGATCAAACATGTTTTATCTACCCCCCCCCCCCCCCCCCTATACCTTAGCCTCCTCTAAAGTTCCTAATGGTATCCTCAAAGACATTGAGCAATGCTGTGTCAAATTCCTTTGGCAAAAGGACCTTAACTCGAACAGTAAATTTAGCTAGAGGTCATGGTCTAATGCTCCTTTACCTTAATAATGAGAATGGATTGAGTTTTTGCAGGTTACAGGACATTCAAAATTTGGTGGAAAAGGCAAAAAATGGAACGAAAATATTATTTGATTCGTCGAGGACAAATCATATGGGCTACTGTTTTCAATTCCTTACGTTCTTGAAATCTTTCTGTTTTTTGACCGCCAATGTATTCTGTAAAACATCTCTACAGACTATAGTGTGAACACTACTATATCTGTGCATGACGGCAACAGCTCCGTCTGGGATTCCTACCGAGTCCCTTTGGGCCCCTTAGCCCGTCATTGATATCCACATTGAGCAATTCCCCCCATTTGCCACCTTTGGTTGGTATTTCAATTTTTACGTAATAAGTAGTTCCATTTGATTCAATAATAACACACATTGTTAAGACTTAAGTACTGTTGATCACATTGACAAATTCCGTGTGATCTAATAGAGGTAAGAGAAACTATTAATTTGAAATATTTCACCGTCTTTGATTATCATTAAACTTTTAAAATTCTTAGAATTTGTATCTTTTCTTAAAAATACGTAACTGATTTTAATTCTCTATGCAAAACTATTTTATTGTTGCTAGATTTAACTATGGAGTTAAAAGGAGGAAAAGAGACGTTGATAAGTTGCTAACTTCATCCCTTAGGGTGTCCCTTTGGGCCCCTTAAGAGGCTCTCTAATGAGAGCAGTAATTACTCAAACTGCATTACTAGTGGTGGCTTTACATTGAAGTTGGCCTATGATGAGATTAGGCATAAACACTGCAAAAACCAAAACATTGATGTTTTCTGGAAAAAACATATTCCTGTGAAAATTTCTTTCTTCCTTTGGCGTATTTCTAACAATTTGGCTGTGCAAGCTGATTCCTTTGACCATTTTTTCCTTCGCTGCTCCGCTCAGACATCCATTTGGATGCACTTTGAGGTCCTGAGTCACAGGTCAGATGGCAATCCTAAGGACTACATCCTTAATTGGACCGATCATAAATATTTTCACTGTTAAATTACTATTCTTTGGAACCTTTGGAAATTGAGAAACACCACTCTATGAGATATTACTCCTAACTACTTTAAGGCCATTTAAAGGGACCTTAGCTCCCTTTTTGTCACCAAGTGCTCTAAAAAGACTTCTCAAAACCGACCCAAGACTGCCTTTTGGACTCAACCTCCCAACTTTTAACATTGCCCACACTCAAAACGGCTTCTCGCATAACTTCAGTTTCTTAATCCGTAACCATAAGGGGGAGAAGATTTACCCACCATTTTCATAGTTGTTTAACAACTGTCGTCATAAGACTTTCATAGAAGTAATTCTCTGTTATCTTCATTTGTGTAGGGACAAGGGCATCTCCCTTTCTAATATTCAGATTTCGGATCAAGTCTACCAAACTATCATCTTTCAAAGCATCAATCATTGGGATCAAACTTTTAATATACTTGCATTCCTAGGATGTTGCATCAAAACCACATCATTCTTAGCCATACCCACGAGAAGGTTAACTTTGCGGCTAAAGAAATAAGTCTTGGTATTGATGTCAAATCCTCAAGCTTTCAAGAAATCCTAACCCCCTACCTTGTATGTTTCCTTATTCAATAAATCCGTAAGGTGTTCTCCTGCCCTTACCCCTTTCTAGGCTGGTTCGTCACTGGGTCTTAAAAAAATTATACATGTATATATTATTAAAAATGCAGCAAACTACATAAAAATAAGCTAACAGTTTGATGATACACAGGATTACATAATGAGCGTAAATTGGACTTCGTAAGGTGTCACATTTGCACCTAATTAATATTTAGTATTTACAGCTAGCAATGTTTCGACAAATAGTCCACAGCCCAATAAGGAGATTAAACAGAGGTACTTTATTTCCTCACAATCAAATGCATGGTGGTGATGAAACAAAAATTATACCCTTTATTAACTGGAGAACTTTTCAAGTTCTCATATTTTGGAAATGAGTTGGTTTGGAAATGGAGAACATTGTCCAACTTCCCACTGGTTCAAAATCAGTACCAAAAACTACCTTCGTCACATCCTCATGGATAAAACAAGAAACACCAGAAGGTGGGTCGACAATTCGTTAATAAATCCTTGCAGATCGACCTGCTACTGCCTACATCAGTGCCTCTAACATAAATGACTAAAAGTTACTGTTCAACTCAACATAGATATAGCATGTTTGGATTTAAAAATTATAATAGGTGTATCAGTATATGTATGAAATATAAAGCCAGATAAGAATATAAGAGGACCCGGTTCCAAATTTAATAATAAAACCCGTACCGTCCGTACTCGTATGAATCTAACTACTAGTATATGCTTCTTTAACTGTCAAAAAAAAAACTACTAGTATATGCGTAGTAAACTACTACGTAGTATATCAAGGACATTGCGCAATTCAATTTAATACGTTCAGTACTAAAAATTAATTTTGAATATGACAAAGAAAAACTCAAACCTATGTACTCTTTAGCCCCTTATACTTTTGTAGTCTTTCTTTTATGGACCATTCTTGGTGTACACAAAATGTGTACACAAATGGTACATAGCCTGTGTACATAAGCAACTAGGGACGTTTTGACATCAAATGCCGTCACTTTCCAAACGAATTGTCGGTGTACACGGACAAATATGAGGGATTTGTGTACACTTTGTGTACAACTCATGTACACTAAGAGCCCGTTTAGTAGCACGAAAATCGGCTGCTTTGGCTGTTTCAGCTGAAATTTATGAAGTTCTGGCTGAAGTGACTGCATTGGCTGATTCTGTTGATTTAAGAAAAAATTATTTTTAAAATATATTTTATTAATAAAATGAAGAAAAAATTATATGTAAAAATAGCTAAAATGGTCATCTATACTAACTTCAGCCAATACAGCCAGAAAAGTAACTTCAACCTTACTTTTTCTGCTTATTACACAATTCAGCACGCGAAAGCAAAAGTTACGTGTTTGGTGAAAAAGCTGGCTGATAAGCCTGATAAGCCGAAAAACAGTGATTCTAAACGGCCTCTAAGATTTCTTTTTTTTTTTGATGATCTAAAAGACTTTGACATTTTCCGTTAAGAAATCTAAGTTGGACTGAGCGAAAGAGTAATTATACTAGACATAAACATTAGCAAGTGGGCTAGATTTGGAAAACGATAAAATGTACATAAAAAACAATAATCTCAACTATTGTCGGTCCGCTAACATTAATCTCAATTATCGATTATTTCTGTATAAACCCAACTATATAGACCGTCCGTCAATAATAGTCTATGATCGGATACAACGTGCTATAAATCTCTAACAAGTCAATTTTAAATAGAAACTAAGTGTATTCTATAAATAATCTCAACTATGTTGGTTCCTCTTTAAATAATTTCAATCATCAACTCAATTTTTTTTACAAGGAGTATAAAAGTTTATTTAAATTTCAAATTATGAATTTTATAAATGAAAGTTTATAAAAGATGTTACATTTTTTTATTTTTCAGATAAAATAAAAGATGTTACATATTTTTCCAGATAAAATAATTTTAATTTTTGCTAAATAATTGTTTTTGGATTCTTTTATAAATTCATGATTTTTATTAACTTTAATTAAATTGAAATGATTTAATATTTTAGTATGATTAGATTTTTGGAATGATTTATATTCTTATCTTTTGCACTTTCTTAATTTTAAAAATCAAAGATTTCATTTTTTAATTTGCATTAGTACTTAATTTGAATTTCACTTTTCCTTTGAAGTTTTTATATTGAGCTTTTTACACTCTTTATTTATATTTTTGTATTCATTATATATTTATAATATCTTACATGTTATGAAATTTTAATTTTGAAATTTTCATAAATTTTTCCATATTCTATAGTTATATATTTTATATTCTTTAATTTCAAAAACTACCTAGGAAAGTTAATTTAGTAAAAAAAATTGAAACTATTCCACTTTTGGTCCTCTGAGTTTTGCACCAATTCCACATTTAGTCCTCGTCTTTCACTTTATCCATTTTTGGTACTTGACTATTGTTTTCTTGACCATATATAGTCCTTTTCCGGTAGTAAAAATGCCCGGAGTTGGACCGCAAATGGTCAAAAAAACAATAGTCAGGTACCAAAAATGGATAAAGTGAAAGACGGGGACTAAATGTGGAATTGGTGCAAAACTCAAAGGACCAAAAGTGGAATTTTTTCAAAAAAAATTATAATCCTTTTTACCATTTTTGCATATGTGGTTACTTTAATTTAATTAAAGTCGCTAGATGATTTTTTAGATTATTATAATATATGGTATTTCTTTTTTAATTGACTAGACATGTAGCCGATCTATCACACCATTATTTACGAAAGGTTCTTAAAATTGAGATTATTCTCAAATAGTCGATAATTGGGATTATTATAAGTGGGCCGCTAAGAATTGAGATTATTTAATATATTTTCCGATAAAATAAGAATGATTTACAACCATACAAACATTACAAAACATTACAAATTGAGCTATAGAACAAATTTAGTGGGGTGGATCCCAAAGAAAAAAATGAGCAACCGGAGAAGCAGAAAGGGAGTAAAAATTACTAATAAATCACATTTTTGTGCGACCTCAAATGCAAATTAAAAGAAGTTGAGAAGTAAGGGAAGAGTTTAAAACCCAAGCAAGACAAAATGGTAAATAATTTACGTAATGATGTATTAAACGAAGGAATTTTCATTGTCAGAACTAGGCAATAATTTTTTTAAAAGTAAAAATACTGATATACATGTTTTCTGGTTTCTAAGGGTCTGTACAGCTTCTGCTTTTCAAAAAATGTTTTTTTTTAATGAAATATGGAGAAGTGATTAAATAAAAGTTGATAGTGTTTGAGAAAAAAGTGATTTTGAAAAGTAAAAGTGGGTAGTGTTTGATAAAATAAGTGCTTTTTGTGTAATAGAAAAAGTAAAAACACTTTTGACGCGGAAGCCGAGAAAAATAAAAGTTGTAGTGTTTGGGAAAATAAGTGATTTTTTAAAGCCAAAAGCTCAGAAATGCTTTTTTAAAAGCGGTTGCAAACCAACCCTAATACGGAGTATAATTAGGGCTGAGCAAAACCCGATCCGACCCGAAAAACCCGATATTTTTTCCGGATATTATCCGAACCAAAGTGGATATCCGACCCGAAAAACCCGAAACCGAAAATCCGATTAGTATTGGGCCTAGACCGGGTGGCGGGTAGGGTTTGTGAAATCCCAACCCGACCTGCCCGAATATCCGAAATATATGTTAGTGATGTGTACTTTGAATATTTAAGTTAATACTTGTGTTCAATTATTTGTGTAATTATTTGTGCAATTTGTATTAAATTATTTGTGTAAATTGAATGTGTAGTGAACTAGTGTGTACAATTTTTGTTAAACTGGCATTCCAACACTTTAACTACCCAATTATAATGTGTTTTGATATAACCAAAATATCCGAAATATATGAAATTATGTAATGTGTACTTTGAATGTGTTACATTAATACTTCTGTTCAATTATTTGTGTAATTATTTGTGCAATTTATGTTAAATTATTTGTGAAATTTGGAAGTTTAGTGCACTAGTGTGTACATTTTTTGTCAAAGTGGCATTTAAACACTTTAATTATCCAATTATAATTTTTTTTAAAATAACCGAAATATCTGAAACCCGACCCGATATCCGATAATATCCGACTTAAAAATATCTGAAATACCCAATTTGAAATATCAAAGGGTCGGGCCTAATATTTAAATTAAAAAACCCGAACGGGTTTAGGGCTCGCAAACCCGACCCGCCCGAACCCGACCCGTGCACACCCCTAAGTATAATGAGAAAATGAAAGGAAAAAACTCAAAAAGTAATTCGAGTATTAGCATGTAATTGTGCAATATTGCGTGGATGCGTTGTGGACCCTATTGGAAGACTTAATTTATATTTTTGGTGAGATCAGGTGACGCGCTGATCTTGAAAAAAAGCGAAAAATGGACCTACAAACAGTAGATTTTACCAGAACTTTGCTCTCAACGACGAAACATCGTGGAGAAAAGGGCCTTAGCCACAACCCAATGTATGCAGGTTTCCGCATTAAAAGCACAGCGCAATGAGAGTTGCGACAGAAGCTATAAACAGTAGATTTTAAAAATTACTCTTACATTTTGGTCACATTTACTGCTTTGAAGTCTGTTTCGAAGTTCCGAAGTGAGTAAAAAACGAAAATTTTAAAATAATTACTCTTCCTGCTCTAAAATAACTGTCCGAAATGGAGAAATGAAGACACGAGTCAATACCAGCTTAAATAATGAAATTTATTTCTAAAAATAAAATAAAAAAATCTCTCGCATTCACAGCGAAAATCTCAAGTATATCGAAAATAATATGCGTAAGAAAATAGCACGAGAAAAAAAGGAAAGGAAAAAAGGGAGCTTACGAGACGGCGGATATGTGCCGGCCGTTTCAAACCAGCTCTCAGCTGCACGCGCCTCCACTGGAGACTCTCCGCCGCAGAAATTGAAGTGCCGCGGCGCGTCAAATTCGTAATCCAGATCAATCTCCACCACCGTGAACGTATACTCCACCATATCCTCCATCTCGTTATCCAACATTTCTCCGCTGCTTACAGTTCCTCTTCTGGAAAAAACAAACACCAGAACTGTAACAGAGTATTTCAAACGCACTTCCACTTTCTGCGAGCGTACGTGTATCTCTTTGGTGATCTTCGGCTGCTCTTGAAGTACGAAATCTCCGGAAAATCTGCCCGAACAGTTTAGACAGAAGAGTTTCTGTACGTGCGAGGGAGCAAAAAGCTGAAGATTTGAGAAGGTGTAGCCGAAGCACGGAGATTACGGACTCCTACGGAGACGGCTATTGGTCAGAAGGACCCAAATAAATTTTGAATTATGATTATGGGCGGCCCGAATTGGGGCGTAATATAACGTTAGTATTTATATTTTCCCGGACCAATCTACCCCTGGGGTTTTGTAGAGGGAATCTCATAAATGCCCTTCAGCAATTTGAACTATAGGCACCGTTTGTTTATCCCAAATAAAAAGTGAAATTGTACTACCTCCATCACATTATATTTGAGTCAATTCGATTTACGATGTTTAATCGACGATAAAACAAACGAATTTTTCTCCGCACTTAAATTATTTTTAGACAAAAAATACATATTCAGAAACTAAATTAAAAACTTTACAAAGTCGGAAAAAACCAAAATCAGATATGAAAAAAAATTGATATATAAAAAGAGATTAAGGCTGGAAACGTCCGACCATCGGGTGGAAGAAGGTAAACATTGGTGCTTCTACTGGTGGCAGAAGGTATGGCCTCGGCTGGATCCTTAGGGATGAAGCTGGGGAGTTTCTTGCTGGAGGTGCTAAGCCTTGGGAAGGTCAGTGTTCTACTACAGAGGCAGAGCTGCTAAGCATTCGTGAGGCGCTAAGTTGGTTGAAGAATAATAACTGGGACTTCGTGGAGGTGGAGTCGGACTCGTCGTTAGCTATCTCGGAGATTTTGCAAGGATCGAGTTTATCTGCTAAAGGCGTTATTGCTGGGGATATTAGAGATCTGAGCTCAAGTTTTTCTAACGTCACTTTTAATTTGATTAGGGGGTCATCCAACAAAGTTGCACATGTGTTAGCAAAGGTGGCTGGTTCTATGTCTGATGCCTGCATTTGGTTATTTAATCCCCCAATCTGTATTGTTAACACTCTAGCTTTTGATTTGATTAATGGTAATTAATTAAGTTCTTCTAAAAAAAGATATTAAGAGTGATTTGTGTTGACCAAGTGAATAGTGTCTGGGATAATCTTAACGAGACGGAGGGAGTATAATGAAATGTTGTGCAATGAGTAAATAATACTTCATTCGTTCTTTTTTAATTGCAACAGTCCATTTTTCACATTTATCAGCGCACAAGTTTGACCATTAATATCTTTCATTCCATATTAGTATAAAAAATTAAAAACAAAAATCAGTTTTTGAAAATTTAAAATGAGAAGAATTTAACAATATTTAAGAAAAATAATTTATAATACGTTAATGAATAAAATATAGTCAACGTAGAATATGTGAATAGAGCAAAAAGTTCAATGTTGCAATTAAAAATGAACGAATGTACTATTACTCAGCCCAATAAGATGTTGCTAACTTTGAGTAGGGTGTTAAATAAGAATAGTAAAAGTTGTCGAATAAGACGTTGCGAACTTTGAGTAGGGTGTTAAATAAAAAAGTAAAAGTTGTGTGATTGGTGTTTGAACAGAGAAAGAAGAAGTAAATTGAATCACGAGTTAATTACTTTAAAAAGAAAGTGATGAATGCTTTGGTACAGATAAAAAAGGAAATTGAAAAGGTCCAAGTGTCGCCAACAGGACGAATGGAGTATTAAGGAGCACGCGCATCAATTATCAATATTGGAATTGTTACATACCATCCGCTTGGATATCAACCACTCACCCTTATACAATTACTAGCAAGGCACACGCCATGCGTGAGGCTATGTGCCCAATCCAAGTAACGTGAATTTTAAGTAGTGACTGAATATTGAAATGTAGTGATGGCAGAAGTTTGAGCTTAAGAAAGAAGATTTAGAATTGGTTTTAAAGAAATGGTCAAGGCACATGTCACAAATGTACTACATATATCACCCTAGTTTCATCGCTAGTGTTGTCGGTAAAGAACTCTAGCATATATAATGTGGTAGCTTCGGTAATACCTTTGTAGCATCCAAGGCACATATAACATGAACTATTTGAGCAACGCTAATCTAATCAATAATAGGTATTCTGCACAAGGTACCTGAGAGGCTGAGAAAGCAACAACAAACCTTCTTTACTATATCATTTATGTGTAATATGAGTGAAATAATATCTAGTTGAGGAAAAGAATTTTTTAACATGGCATTGAATATTTAAAACATCACCAGCACATATGTTCATCCGAATTCAACTTTATCCTCGCAAGTGTAAAGTAGTAAAAGTTGAAAGCAAGGTTAGAACCAAAGAATCCACCAAACGGAATAGCAAGGAAAAATCTGCTACATTGAAGTTTTTTTTCAAATCTACCTCAGAAGTACTGCGGATAAGAGGGAAAACAGGAATTGTGGATTATTTGGGGTAGAGTTATCGTGTATCCTAGGCTACATTAAAAATGTATATATAGGCTATTATGTGAGTGCATTCTCAAACTATGGTAATAACACTAACACAAGTTCATAATTCTTAAAAAGTTTTTGTTAAACAGCGATCACCTTTATTGAAATATCTCCCTGTAAACATGTTTTGGACTTACAACCATCGTGAGAAACAGGGACGATAGAATACCTGAAAGACAAACACTCCCGTTAACAAAATGGTAAGATGGTAAGACAATAAATCAAAAGTGTGATGCCCATGAAATAATAGCCCACCAAGTTAGAGATGCATCTTTCACAATATCCTCTTCTATCGCTAATGTGTTTGTCAGTAAAGATCCTTCAAGCTAGCTGAGAGCTTAGAGAAGCATATAACCCTATACTCAAGGAAACATATACATGAAAGCATATAACCCGAGCTTCATGGATATGAATCAAACAGTGTGTTTGTCAGTAAAGAACATTCACTCAGTGCATCCAATATATGAGGAAATTATTATTATTGGCTATCAAGAAGGCACAATTGAACCTACATAAGGGACAACATAACAACCTGCAATAAAAAAAATCCAGACAAACAAATGGAAACACAAAAGACAAAAGAGCACTTTGGATTTTACCAACCATAATTATATTACATATTACAACAAGTTGGGCAGACATATCCAGCCAATTGCACAAAAGGTATTTTGTAACTGGAACATTTTTGAAAACTGAAATATTTTGAAAAAAACTATTATTTTGTAACTGGAACATTTTAATGTAGTATTTAAATCCCAGTTTTAACACAGCTTGTGTTCACTTTTAAATATATAAAGCTAATAGATAATAAGCAATAAATCACAAAACTAATGAGTAGACAGTAACCTAAGGAAAATAGAATGTTAAATACAAGACTCCCCATCAAAACTGTTGTTACTCATCACTCGCACCTAGTGCTACACTTATAACATAATTCCTACAAAAAGAACTGAAGAACATAATTACTCAATAGTATTCAAATACATCCAAAAGGGTATCGATTAACCATGTGCACCATCAGCACCAATCTAATGTTTCCTTGTTAATACACATAAAATAACATTAATAATATAAACTTAGCCTCTAAATGACATAAATAATCCCCTTCAAAATCCTAAACAGACAAAAGCTACATTTATGGATAAGAATCAACCAAGGGAACAAAGGGACAACAACGCAAACCAGAGGAAAATAAAAAACGCAGCAGAGCTTGGCATCCAAAACTTCCAAAACTACATTGAGTTGATTCTAGTAAAGGATCTTGAATGCCATGTAAGGAGACAAAACGAGTCTGATTGACTCTAGTATACAACCCTCCATATGAACAAACCTCTTGAGTTTCCTGGTAACTCAAGACAACATGCAAGGGACATGACCGCAGGTGAACCATAATTAAAGAGCTCTTTAAAAATAGCTCTTTAATTAGCTCTTAAAAGTATGAAAACTAATACAACAGGCTGCGTATTATGGAGAACCATATACCATCTTTATGTTCGATAGCAAGTAATCTCTTCATACTCAGTGTCCATAAATATGACATATGGATGCTCTCCAGTACAAGGATATGAATCCTAGTCAATTTAGAGGAATAAATGTATCACTACTTTTATTTATATTCTATCCACAAGTTCTAGGTTCCTTACCATTTTTGTTATTTAAAAAAATGCTTTCCTTTTGTGAATAGGCTTTAGTCCAATACGGTATGCCTTAAAAAATACACCAGTTTGACAACTTCTTCATTAGGGGTGCGTTTAATTTTACATTTCGAAGTTAACACCATATTTAAAATATGGGAAAGTAAGAGGATAGCAAACACGCGTGAGGAAAATGGGCAGAAATTTTGATAGCAAACAAACCACCAAACACACCAGCCATACAATTCCATCACCAAATTAAAGAAATCCCCTCCCTTGAAGACCCTGAACAAACGAATTAAACTCAGGGCTATAGATAAGTTCGTAATAAAGAAACGCATCAAGAAGAGCAGAGTACACCATCCACTTCTGCAGACATTAATGGCGCTTCTCAAACGATAATAAATACTACGTATTTACCTACCAGCAACCAAATGGCCAAAGACGAGAAAATGAGTGACTTTTGGTATACAATGCTCCATAAGTAGGGATGTTCCGAACATGATGAGTGCGCTGATAACTCCGAACAACACGCAAGGGGCTGGACGGATGGAGAACCACAAGAACGGAAAAATCTCCAATAGTGCGGATGACAAGAGAAACAATATGGTGAGGATGGGCGAACCATGGAATGATTTCGGATGGGATGATTTTTTATTTCAAAATGGAGAAACGAAATACCAGACAGGCGTGAGGAACAGGGGAGACGGAAGCCCGTTTAACGAAAAACAGGCTGAAAATTTGGAGCGGCGTTCAAGTGACGCTTTATATAAGTAGGAGATACATGAGTCTTGTGAACGATGTAACCTTTCCTAGAGCTATGTGTCACCATATCAGAGCATAGTAAGGTTCGCGATGTTCACCCTTTACGTGGTCACATTCATGCCACCCAACTCGTTCTTTAGAATCGAGCTAGATCGCATGCGGTCCTTACGCATATGTGCAAACACTACCTTAAATAGCAAATTGTACTATTGTAGTTTGTTTGCAGGGCTGGTCCAGTCTATTTTCGGGCCTATGGGCGAGAATGCGAGATAATATTTTAGACTTATATTCAAGACAAATAATAAATTATATTTATTTAAAATAATAATTATAATAAAATTATCTAATGAAGGTCATTAAATAAAAACGAAACTCATTTTATTATCATTATCATTTAAATTACATATTTGGTGAAAAGTAACAACACAAGTATCACATAAAAAGAAAAACATTACTTAAAAACGTTTGTCACGAAATTTTCAAGATTCAATTTCTTAACAAAAACAAAACTTTCCATCAAACCCTTTTAACTTAATCCTGTCTTTTCTAATCTTCTTCTCTTTCTCTCTTTATCCCAACCTGAATCACCAATGTTATCAAGAATAATTTATTGATCACGAATGGATTGTTTGAAGCCTTGAAAGAAGAAGTTTTTGGTCACCAACCACCGTTTGGGCTTCTCGATTGATTGGCTTCAATTCATAACAAACCGCTGAGGCACTCACCGCTTTGAGGCATTCTTTACTCTTGTTGATATTGGAATTTGGAAACAACAAATCAATTTGGATGGGCTTTGCGAATTGGGAGTTTTGGGCTTTGGAGACCTAACATAACTTGGTAATTTTTTAATTAAAAGGATTATAAAACTTAGAGATTCGAAGAGAATTAAGAGAGGCGTGCCACTTACATTAATTTTAGAAATTAAACCTTGAGCCAATTAATTGAGCTTAAAAATTAAAAAAGAAGACTACTCAGACTACATACAAAGAAATATTTTTGGACCTATTTCCCTCCTATTTTCTCGAGCCTAGGGCGGTTGCCCCTGTTGCACCCCTAGGGCCGCCCCCGTTTCTTTGCTAATTCTCTTTACTTCTTTATTAACTAGATATGACAAAAGCGGTTGACATAGAAACATGAAATG